CCCCAGTCCTCTTTCCCAAGCCACCTTACATCCCCATATCCCCTAAATCGAGGTCTCCTATGGGGAGTCAGCAGAGCCCAGCACACTGAGCCTAGGCAGTTCCAGGCACTTCCCACTGCACCAAGGCTGTGCAAAGTGTCACACCACAGGCATCAGGTTCCAGAAGCCTGCCCACAGACCAGGGACAAGTCCCGATCTCCCTGCCTGGGTCACCCCCAAACAGTTCAAGCCAAACAACCATCTTCCATATCCAGAGGGTCTAGTCAAGTCCCATGGGGGTGCCACAGCCACCATTCCACAGTTCATGGGCTTCCACTGGTGTGGCCAGACATCTCTGCATGTTCTCCCATCATGATGTTGATGTCCCTTGCCTGCAGTATCTTTCTTCTCTCTCATCAGCTGGATTCCCTGGGCTCAGCCTGGTTCCTGGCCGTGGATCTCTGAATCTGCCTCCATCAGTCACTAGACAAAGGCTCTATGATGACACTAAGGTTATGCAACCACGGGAAATCAGTATGATGGTTTCTCAGAAAACTGGGAATAAGTCTTCCTAAAGACCCAGTTATACCACTCTTGGGCATGTACCCAAGGAATGCTCAATCATACCACAAGGACACATGCTCAACTATGTTCATATCAGCATTATTCATACTAGCAAGAACCTGGAAACAACCTAGATGCCCATCAACTGAAGAATGGATAAAGATATTATGGCACATATACACAATGGAGTACTACTCAGCAGTAAAAAAACAATGATATCATGAAATTTGCAGGCAAATAGATCGAACTAGAAAATATCATTGAGTGAGGTAACCCAGACTCAGAAAGATAAACATAGTATGTACTCACTCATATGTGGATACTAAATGTGAGGGAAGGGATGGCCAGACTGCAACTCACAACTTCAGAGAGGCTAGCTAACAGGAAAAGACCTCACAAGGGACACATGAATGATCCTGTGAAGGATAATTGGATGTGATCTACATGAGTGGTCTGGGTGTGGGGAAGTGGCAGAGGGGGAGGAGTGGGGGATGAGAAAATAGGGCAATGGGAGGGTCAAGCTGGAACAGTGACAGAGTGGGAGACCAGGGAGGAAGATACCATAATAGATGATGACATCATGGGAATAGGAAGAGGCAGGGTGCTGGGGAGGCTCTCAGGAATCCACAAGGTTGACCCCATTTTGGTCTGCTGGCAGTGGTCCAAAGGGTTCCTGAACCTGTCTACTCTAGTGACCAGTCTAGGAAATAACCAATCAAATGGTCTTAAGATGCAAGATGGTGTAGCCTTCCTAATATCCAGCAAAATAGATTTCAAATTCAAATCAATGAAAAGAGATCAAAAAGGACATAATATAATCATCACAGGAAAGATCCACCAAGATGAAGTTTCAAATCTTAACATTTATGCCCCAAACACAAGGGTATCCACATATGTAAAAAAAAAAACATTACTAAAGCTTAAATCACACATAAAACCCTATGCATTAATAGTGGGAGACTTCAACACCTTACTCTCACCACTGGACTGATCTGCAAAATCGAAAGTTAAAAAAGAAATAAGGGACTTAACTGATGTTATGACTCAAATAGACTTAATGGATATCTGCAGAACATTCCATCCTAACAAAGAAGAATATACCATCTTCTCAGCACCCTATGGAGCCTAAAATCGACCACATACACAGTCAGAAAGCAAATCTCAACATATAAAAAAAATTGGAATAACCTCCTGTTTTCTATCAGACCACAATGATTTACAGTTAGATTTCAACAACAAAAATTACAGAAATCCTACAATCTCATGAAAACTGAATTATGCTCAACAGAATCACCAATGGGTCAAGGAAGAAAAAAAGAAAGAAATTAAAGATTTCCTAGAGATCAATGAAAATGAAAACACCACATACCCAAACTTATGGGACACAATGAAAGCAGTGCTAAGAGGAAAAGTCATAGCACTAAATGCCCACATAAAGAATTTGGAGAAATCTAACACTAGTGACTTAACAGCACACCTGAAACACCTAGAATTAGAAGAAGCAAAGTCACCCAGGAGGAACTGATGCCAGGAAATAATCAAATTGAGAGCTAAAATCAATAAACTAGAAACAAAGAGAATAATACAAAGAATCGATCAAAGAGTTGGTTCTTTGAGGAAAATCAACAAGATAGACTGTAGATGTA